GAGGGAGGGAAGCCAGGGGTCATTGCCCCACACACCTGGCACTCATTAACGCAGGAAGGCCGAGCCAAGGAGGGGAAAAGGCCGGCATGGCTCCCTTGACCATTGCCAGGCCAGGCCCCGCACAGGAGGGGCCATGGCACCCCCAAGGCCTTGCGTCCGATTTATTTTGGACAAACACCTGGTGCAAGTGTGCAAGGAAAGAAAGACCAGGCAGGTAAGTCACTTCAAACCCATGGCCAGTCTGGGGCAGAGAGGAGGAAGCAACAAAGCAACAGTGACGGGAAGGAAGGAAAGTGGGAGGGACGGAGGGGGTCCCACAGAGATGAATTCCCCCCCCCCCATGATTTTTAGCAAAGCAAAGCAAAGCAGCTTCATTTATATACCACTTCATATCGCACTATGGGATGTCTAAGTGGTTTACAACTGTCATTGCCCCCCAACGGTTGGGTACTCATTTTAGCGACCTTGGAAGGATGCAGGCCTGAGTCTAGCCTGAGCCCTGGCTATTATTGAACTCGCAGCCTTGTGGTCTATGAGTGAGTGGCTGCAGGACAGGCATTGAACCACTGCGCCACCATCTTCAAAAGTGACCCCGAGTCAGGGGCAGCCTAATCAGGGCCCAAAATCTGATGCAGGTGCACCTTAATGGAGAAGGAAACCAGCCTCACAGGTTACACAGAATGGGTCTGAGCAGGCAGCAACAGATGGCCTGTGGCAAATTTTTTCATCAGTTTGCATTTAAATTTAATATTTAATGAATCTGTTATTGATATCTGATTTAATAATGTTTTAAGGGGGGGAGGGAATATACTGTTTTATCTTTGTTGTTCTTTTAACTGTTGTAAACCGCCTAGATTGGTTCGCCATAGGGCGGTATAGAAATAAAAATTATTATTATTATTATTATTATGTTATGATAGCTGCAGCATGTCACTCACCTGCAGCTCTTGTTCTGCGCATTGAGGGCACCCCATCCCAGCAACAACGCCTGCAGGAACAGAGGCAAGAAGTCTGCGGCCGACGTATGTGCTCAGGGTTGCATCCACGTACTGCTTGCGCTCAAGTCCTCCTTCCTGTGGTGGACTCGCTCTTTGGCCTCGTGTAAATGGGAGCGCTGGACATGGTACCGGTCCGTAGTCTGATCCGCATCGTGGCCCTTCCCGTCTCCTTACTCGGCTACTCCAAGGCCGGCCGACTAAA